AGACATTAAAGGGAAGGCGCATTCCTGCCCCGGCTTGTCCTACCAAACAAAACCTTTGGAGTGAAACCACATTCCGGAAAAACCACACACCCAATCGCAAATTCTTGGCAAGTCTTGAGCATGGGATCAGCACAACAACAACCTCAAAGTTTTCCAAAGGAAGGGAGGCACGTTTGGTTTGCAAAGGCCTGGGTCAGATCCATATTATATGTGTTTTAGTGTCGGTTGCAAGGGGTGCGGAGTCTTGTTGGGTTTCGGTGTCGGTTGCAAGGTGTGCGGTCCCAACCGGACTCTTGTTGGAAAATTAGACCCAATCCAAGCATCGTTGTGCAGGGACACAGTCAGGTGCATTTCAGGCAAGGCCAACCGCGTGCCGTGAAGTTACGCAACCGGGGCAATCATACAACGCCTTACTTACGCAGGCAGGCAAAGGTCAGGGAAATGCCCCGAGTTTGCAGTCGCTTCCGCAATCGTTTTCCCACCGTTTCCAACATTGGACTCTTTTCACCCATCATATAATATCAGCCAGTTTATACTGAATCCTGCAAAGATACCCAAGTCGGCCATATAGCCGATTACAACAACCGCACAAAACCCACAAAAAAGGGATATTACTCTATTATTATTATTATTATTACATATATTGTTTACTCTATTATTATACTGATTGTTTATTTCTTCTTATTATTATTATCTTTATTATTTTACTCTATTATTATTATATTTATTTTATTACTCTATTATTATTATTACATTTATTGTTTATAATAATTATCCGGTGGTGCAGTGGGTTAAACCCCTGTGCCCAGGACTGAAGACCGACAGGTCGCAGGTTCAAATCCGGGGAGAGTGAGGATGAGCTCCCTCTGTCAGCTCCAGCTCCTCATGCGGGGACATGAGAGAAGCCTCCCACAAGAATGATAAAAACATCAAAATTTCATCCGGGCATCCCCTGGGCAACGTCCTTGCAGACGGCCAATTCTCTCACAACAGGATACTCCTGACACGAAAAAAAATACGTTTATTAATTTACTGTATTATTACTTTTATTATTTTACTCTATTATTATTGCACTTATTATTTACGCTAATATTCTATTATAATATAATCTATTATTATTATTACATTTATTATTTTACTCTATTATCCTTACTACGTGTTTCTCCCTTTCACATTATTTTACTCCATTACTATATTTATTATTTTACTCTATTAATATTATTACATTTACATTATATTACTCTATTATTATTATTACATTTATTGTTTATTTGTTATTATTACCTTTATTATTTTACTCTATTATTATTACATTTATTTTATTACTCTATTATTATTATTACATTTATTATTTTACTCTATAATTATTGCAGTTATTATTTACTTTATTATTATTATTATATTTATTATTTTGCTCTATTATCCTTATTAAATGTTTCTCCCATTTATATTATTTTACTCCATTATTGTATTTATTATTTTACTCTCTTATTATTACATTTATATTATATTACTCTATTATTATTATATTTATTGTTTACTCCATTATTATTACATTTATTGTTTACTCTGTTATTATTATTACATTTATTACTTTACTCAATTATCCTTATTATATGTTTCTCCCATTTACATTATTTTACTCCATTATTATATTTATTATTTTACTCCATTATTATTATTACATTTATTGCTTATTCTATTATTTTTATTTATTGTTTTTGTTATTATTATTACCTTTATTATTTTACTCTATTATTATATTTATTTTATTACTCTATTATTATATTTATTTTATTACTCTATTATTATTACATTATTATATTCATTATTTTACTCTATTAATATTATTACATCTCCATTAGTGCCTCTTCAAATTCCGCAGCACTGCTGGTCACAGTGGACCTCCAGTTAGAGCACTGTTGTATTTCAGTCAAGGTGGCTAATGGCAACACTCACACTTGCCTCCAACAGAGAAGAGTTCTTTCTCCCACCCTGGACATAATTCCATAGAGATATAAACCCCACTTGCCTAGTTTCCAACAGACCTCTCAACCTCTGAGGACGCCTACCACAGATGTGGGTGAAATGTCAGGTGAGAATGCTTCTGGAACATGGCCAGACATCTCTGGAAGCAACCTTCTGAAGATTCAGAGAGCTGTCAAAGGCTTTCGTTGCCGGAATCGCTGAGGTGCTGTGAGTTTAAATGGCCTTGCAGAAAACTGGGGAATTTCACACATGAAACAGTCGAGGCAAGCTAACACCTCCCAACAAAGGATTCCCCTAGGCAGAATGCAGCCAAGCCTTGAAGCTGAAAGGCCATTCAATTCTAATCATGGCGATTATTGACAACATACACATTGGTCACAAACGGACAAGAGTTCTTTCTCCCACCTTGGACAATCCACAAATATATAAACAGCCGGAAGCAGCCAGGCTTTGAAGCTGCAAGGTCATCCAATGCTCATCAAGATGGCCAATTGCAACATTCACAGATGCCAAGGTGGGCAATGCCAACACTCACACTTGCCTCCAACAGACAAGAGTTCTTTCTTCCACCCTGGACATCATTCCACAGATAAATAAACAGGCAGGAAGCAGCCAGGCTTTGAAGCTGCAAGACCATCCAATGCTCATCAAGATGGCCAATGGCAACATTCACACTTGCCTCCAATGGACAAGAGTTCTTTCTTCCACCCTGGACATCATTCCACAGATAAATAAACAGGCAGGAAGCAGCCAGGCTTTGAAGCTGCAAGGCCATTCAGTGCTAATCAAGGTGGCCAATGGCAACATTCACATCCACAGATATATAAACAGGCAGGAAGCAGCCAGGCTCTGAAGCTACAAGGCCATCCAATGCTAATCAAGGTGGCCAATTGCAACATTCACAGATGCCAAGGTGGCCAATGGCAACACTCACACTCACACTTGCCTCCAACAGACAAGAGTTCTTTCTCCCACCCTGGACATCATTCCACAGATATATAAACAGGAAGGAAGCAGCCAGGCTTTGAAGCTGCAAGACCTTTCAGTACTAATCAAGGTGGCCAATGGCAACATCCACAGACAAAGAGTTCTTTCTCCCACCTTGTACATTCCACAAATATATATAAACCCCATTTTCCAAGTTTCCAACAGACCTCCCAACCTTTGACGATGCCTGCCATAGATGTGGGCGAAACGTCAGGAGAGAATGCTCCTGGGAAGATGGCCAGACAGCCTGGAAAACTCACAGCAACCCAGTGATTCCAGCCATGGAAGCCTTCGACAACACATTATTCCATATATATATATATATAAACCCCATTTTCCTAGTTTCCAACAGACCTCCCAACCTCCCAACCTCTGAGGATGCCTGCCATGGATGTGGGCGAAACGTCAGGAGAGAATGCTTCTGGGAATATGACCTCCCAACCTGGGAAAAAACTCACAAGCCAGAAAATACTCCTTATGATAAGTTATGTCTGCTTCTTATTGAAAGGCAAGGGAACCTGTGATAAGAAATGACCCGTATGTTTTGAGAGGAAACATTGCCTGTATTGATAAGGGATGCTCCTGATTAAAGGTCTGAAAAACTCGGATGTGTCAATACTCTGAGGATGTCTGCCATAGATGTGGGCGAAATGTCAGGAGAGAATGCTACTGGGAAGATGGCCAGACAGCCTGGAAAACACAGTGTCCCTTATTATAAGCAATGCCTGTTTGATTCCAGGCCTGAAGAGCTTGCTTTGTAAACAGAGAGGGAGACATGTTTTCCTCCTTTGTTTACATTCTAAACAGGGAAGGGAAACAATAAATAGTGCACTTCCCCTTTAAGAAAAGCAGGCCTGGGCCAACTTGGGCCCTCCAGGTGTTTTGGACTCCAACTCGCACCATTCCTGTTAGGCTGTTAGGAATGGTGGGAGTTGGAGTCCAAAACACCCAGAGAGCCCAAGTTGGCCCAAGCCTGTTCAACTGCAATGTCAAAAGTTTGCAAAAGTTTGCAAAAGCAAGCAACAGTTTGGTTGGCTTTTTGGACCTCAATTCTCTCCACCCCCCCCCCACCCCAAACCACTTTGATTGACAGCTCGGTAGAGGACCCTTCTGTCTCCAAACCGGCTGTTAGGAATGGTGGGAGCTTGGAGTCCAAAACACCTGGAGGGCCCAAGTTGGCCCAGGTCTGTTTTTGCTTTCTTTTCCCAACTTTTGCAAACTTTTGGCATTGCAGTTGAACAGACCTAGGCCAGCTTGGGCCCTCCAGGTGTTTTGGACTCCAACTCACACCATTCCTAACAGCCTACCGAAGACAGAAGGGTTTGGAGACAGCCGGTAGGCTGTTAGGAATGGTGGGAGTTGGAGTCCAAAACACCCGGAGGGCCCAAGTTGGCCCAGGCCTGCTTTATTGCAATGCGTAAAGTTTGCAAAAGTTTCCAAAACTTGGGAAAAGCAAGCAACAGATTGGTTGGCTTTTTGCACCTCAATTCTCTCCCCCCCCCAAACCCCTTTGATTGGCAGCTCGGTAGAGGACCCTTCTGTCTCCAAACCGGCTGTAAGGAATGGTGGGAGTTGGAGTCCTTACACCCGGAGGGCCCAAGTTGGCCCAAGCCTGCTTTATTGCAATGCGTAAAGTTTGCAAAAGTTGGGAAAAGCAAGCAACAGATTGGTTGGCTTTTTGCACCTCAATTCTTTCCCCCCCCCAAACCCCTTTGATTGACAGCTCGGTAGAGGACCCTTCTGTCTCCAAACCGGCTGTTAGGAATGCTGGGAGTTGTCGTCCAAAACACCCGGAGAGCCCAAGTTGGACCAGGCCTGCTCTATTGCAATGCGTAAAGTTTGCAAAAGTTTGCAAAACTTGGGAAAAGCAAGCAACAGTTTGGTTGGCTTTTTGCACCTCAATTCTCTCCCCCCCAAACCCCTTTGATTGGCAGCTCGGTAGAGGACCCTTCTGTCTCCAAACCGGCTGCGAACCCACCCCCCAGACCCCCCCCCTTTATCGCGGGATAGACGCGGGAACTCACGTCATGTTGTGGACGGTGCGCCCTCGGTTCCAAAAGAGGCAAGCCGGGGCGGTGAGAGCCGAGCAAACCAGGCAAAGGATGCAATAGAAGCCCACTTTGAAGCGGAAGCGGAGCTTGGGGCTGAGGGCCAAGACCCCCGGCAAGCCCACCAGGAAGCCCAGGGCCAGCCAGCCCCCCAAGCCCCAGCCCACCGCCGGAGAGAGCGAGTCCTCCATGGAGAGAAGCACCAAACAGCCCAGGGCGCAAAAGGGGAGTCGCGCAATGGAGAGCTGGGTAGGGGGACCCACTTGGGAAGGGTCCACAGCCCTCCCCAAAGGAGGAAGGGGGCCACAGAAATGGGGGAAAGGGGGGGCAAAAGGAAGCCGAAGAAGGGCCCCCAGGAGCCAAGGCTTCTCCGCACCCAGGAAGGGCAGAATGAGGCAGGAAAGGAAGGAGGAAGGAAGGCGGATTAAGGGGCGTGGATCTGCTGGCCAGGCTCGCCCTCACTGGTTGCCTCTTCTCCTCCTACTTTTTTCTCCTCCTCCTCCTTTTGCAATCCTCCTCCTCCTCTTCTCAGCCCAACTTTTTCCTGGAAACAACCAGGCACATCTTAACACCTCTCAACGAAAGATTTCCCCAGGCTCAGCCAGGCCTTCAAATGCTAATGAAGGTGGTCAGTTGAGACATTCACACCTAGCTCCAGCAGACAAGAGTCCTTTGCCCCACCCCAGTCATTCCACAGATATATAAACCCTATAACTATTATTACTATTATTATTATTATTATTATTATTATATTTTGCCATATTTTAATGTTGTATATTTGCATTGTTGTATTGCTGGGCTTGGCCTCATGTAAGCCTCCCCGAGACCCCTTCGGGAGATGGTGGAGGGGTATAAATAAAGTTTTTTAAAATTATTATTATATTCCATAATAATATATTATTATTATAGAATCATAGAGTTGGAAGAGACCCATCTGGCCCAACCCCTGACCAAGAAGCAGGAAAAATAGATTATATTATTATAATATTACTATTATACTATTAATATAATATAATATTATAATATATTGTATATTATGTTATATATTATTTATTATATTATAACATTATTATAATAAATATATATATAATGTTATAACAATATTATTATAACATATAATATATTAAATATTATAGTAAATAATATATTTTATATTATATTATAATATATTATATTTTATGTTATTTATTATATTATTATAACATTAATATTACGCTATAATATCAATGTTATAATACTAAAATATAATGTTATATTACAACAATATTACTATAATATATATTATATTATATATTTTATATTATAATAATATATAATATAATAATTTATATTATATTTTATGTTATATAATATAAGCGACAACGAGTGAACAACATTCTATTATTATAACAATACTATACTATAATATTGTTATTATAATAATATAATGTGCTATATTATAACAATACTACCATATATTATTATTATATTATTGTAATGTATTATATATTTTATTATAATAAAACAATATATTATTATAATATAAATTATATGCTAAATATAAAATATATTAATATAATATATATATATAATATATAATATAATATATATATAATATATAATATAATATATATATAATATATAATATTATATATATATAATATATATAATATAATATAATAATATATAAAATATAATATAATATATTATTATTATTATTATTATTATTATTATTTATTATATAAGCTAAATGTTTCTCGCTGACATTAAGTCCAGTTGTGTCCAACTCTGGGGGTTGGTGCTCATCTCAGTTTCTAAAGCCGAAGAGCCGGCATTATCCATAGACACCTCCAAGGTCATGTGGCTGGCATGACTGCAAGGAGCACCCTTACCTTCCTGTCGGAGCGGTACCTATTGATCTACTCACATTTGCATGTTTTCAAACTGCTAGGTTGGCAGAAGCTGGGGGTGACAGCGGGTGCTCACCCCACTCCCTGGATTCGAATCTGCGACTTCCTGAGTAGTGGGAGTTATAGCTTTTTGTGGAAGTGGGGAAGTGTCTGCGCAAATGGACACCCCATCCACACACATACATGCATATTTTCGCTTTTATTATGTGTATAGATATATGGATATAGAAGATAGATAGATAGATAGATAGATAGATAGATAGATAGATAGATAGATAGATGATAGATAGATGATAGATAGATAGATAGATAGATAGATAGATAGATAGATAGATAGGGAGCTTTGGCATGGGCTGGTCCATGAGGTCATGAAGAGTAGGAAGCAACTGAACGAATAAGCAACAAATAGGTTGTTGTGAGTTTTCTGGGTTGTATGGTCATGTTCTGGAAGCATTCTCTCCTGACGTTTTGCCCACATCTTTGGCGAGAAGTCCAGAGGATGCCTATATGATGTGGACGAACGAATCCATCTTTCTCTCTCCTGTGTGACTCTGTGGGAGTATCCACCTTTTGTTGTGTGTGACTATTTGATGACTCTGATTGTTTGCGAGCACAAGACAATGTGGATCTGTGTATCCTCACAACCTCTGAGGGTGCCTGCCATAGATGTGGGCGAAATGTCAGGAGAGAATGCTTCTGGAGCATGGCCAGATAGCCCGGAAAACTGACAACAAACTGGCGATTCTGGCCATGAAAGCCTCTGACAACGCATTGAACAACAAATAGATAGATAGATAGATAGATAGATAGATAGGGATGGATAGATAGAGAGAGAGAGAGAGAGATGGATGGATAGAGAGATAGAGAGATGGATAGAGAGAGAGATAGAGATAGAGATAGAGATAGAGAGATGGATAGAGAGAGAGAGATGGATAGATAGATAGATAGAGAGATAGAGAGATGGATATATATATATATAGAGAGAGAGAGAGAGAGAGAGAGAGATGGATAGATAGATAGATAAATGGATAGATAGATGGATAGAGAGATGGATAGATAGATAGAGAGAGAGAGAGAGAGATAGAGAAAGAGATGGAGAGATGGATGGATGGATAGATAGATAGATAGATAGATAGATAGATAGATAGAGATGGATAGATAGAGAGATAGATAGATGGATAGATAGAGATAGATAGATAGAGCGATAGATAGATAGAGATAGAGAAATAGATAGAGATAGAGAGAGAGAGAGAGAGAGAGAGAGATAGATGGATAGATAGAGAGATAGAGAAATCGATAGAGAGATAGAGAGAGAGGTAGAGAGATAGATAGATAGAGAGAGAGAGAATAAGAGATGGATAGATAGATGATAGATAGATAGATAGATAGATAGATAGATAGATAGATAGATAGACAGACAGACAGATAGACAGATAGAGATAGAGAGATGGAGAGATGGAGAGTTGGAGAGATGGATAGATAGATAGATAGATAGATAGATAGATAGATAGATAGATAGATAGATAGATAGATAGATAGAATATGCGACTGGACATTAGGCCCTGGTCTTAGGTCACTCCAGACCCAGCTGACCAGTGGGATCAGGCGGCTATTTTTGCCCAATCCTCTTTTTCCGCTTCCCCTGCAGAATCCTCTCTCGCCAAGCCCTGGTCTTGGAGGCCTCTCTGCTGGGAGCGGAGACCGAAAAAGAGGGAAATCCAGGCCCAGCGGGTGTATTTTTACCCTGGGACTTAAAGAGGATCCCACGGCTAAGCTGCTCTAATGCTCCCAAAGTGCGGCAATGTGTTCCGAAGATCAGAGCCTTGGCGCAAGGCATCTTCGGCACATCTGCAATGCAGGACGAAGGCTGGTTGGCACCACCGTGGTGGGTCAGCGCTCGGGGATCCTTTCCCAAGGCCTTCTCCCTTCTGTGCCAAACTCCAAAGCTTGGGAACCACGGCAGGTCAAGTGGTGCCAAACTGCATTAGTCCGACAGTGTAGATGGACTTTGGACCAGAACTGCTGACTTTTGGTGGCGTTTTGTTTGCTCCGATTCGTCACCTCTGTTGGAAAAGTTGCCAGGAGCGAGGCCCGAATGGGATGCTTCACCATGGGATTATTTACGAGTTTGATTGTTAGGTCCTTTCTAGTCCCTCTGGGCTGGACCATATATATATATATATGTGTGTGTGTGTGTGTGTGTGTGTGTGAGAGAGAGAGAGAGAGAGAGAGAGAGAGAGACAGTGTGTCTGGGGGTCATGAGCAGGGGCGGCTCATCCATTACGCAAAGTAAGCGGTCGCAGTACACTTTCTTTTGCCAGGGGTGCAAAGGCGCCTCCGTAAATGCCCCTCGACCGCCACTTGAGGAGTGCCCCCTCGGCTCACAACAGCCCTAGCTGTCCAGGGGAAGCCTCGGCAACCCATTATCCCGCTCTTGGGGGAAAATAGACCTTGACCTATGCGAGTTGTAGTTACTGGGATGTATAGTTCACCTACAATGAAAGAGCATTCTGAACTCCACCAATGATGGAAGTGAACCAAATATGGCACACACAACTCCCACGATGAACAGAAAATATATATCAGTGATTGGTTGGGGAGGGGGGCACCAAAATACTGTTTGCTTACCGTTGAAAATTACCTAAGGCTGCCTCTGGTCATGACGTCAAATATATATATATATCTGATGGTCTTAGGAACCCCTTTGGCAGAGAAGGCGAAGATCTCTCCACCTGTCCTTCTCTTCCTTTTTGGAAACAGGTGAATGCAGGTAAGGGAGACCGCGTGAGGCTGGAGGGAGTCTCCTCCTACCATAAGCCCTCCTCATGCTGTGATTGACCAGCCTCTCAGCCAAGGGGAGGGCTGTTTCTGAGACTCCAAGCAAGGAGGGGAGAGCAAGCGTGCTCGGTGCATGGCAGTGTGATGCGCATGTGTTGGTGAGGGAGAGCGCGCAAGGCTGGAGGGAGGCTACTTCTACCATCAAGGTGGTCAGTTGAAACATTCACACCTAGCTCCAGCAGACAAGAGTCCTTTGCCCCACCCTGGTCATTCCACAGATATAGCAACCCACTTTCCTACTTCCATCAGACCTCACTACCTCTGAGGATGCTTGCCATAGATGCAGGCGAAACGTCAGGAGGGAATGCCTCTAGAACATGACCATATAGCCTGAAAAAACCTACAACAACCCAGTGATTCCGGCCATGAAAGCCTTCAACAAAACAAGGGGAGGGCTGTTTCTGAGACCCAACACAGGGAGGGGAGAGCAGACATGCTCGGGGCATGGCACTGTGGTGTGCATGTGCAAGTGAGGGAGAGCATGTGAGGCTGGAGGGAGGCTCCTCCTACCAAAAGCCCTCCTCATGCTGTAATTGACCAACCTCTCAGCCTAGGGGAGGGCTTTTTCTGAGACACCAAGCAAGGAGGGAGAGCAGGCGTGCTCAGCGCATGGCAGCGTAATACGCACGTGAAGGCGAGGGAGAGCACGCAAGGCTGAAGGGAGGCTCCTCCTACCAAAAGCCCTCCTCCTGC